CAAAACTTAGGTTACATGGGGGAAATTTAAGGTTTCAGAAAGAGTTAAAATTTCCTAATCAGCTGAGTTTGAGGTGAAGAAATTATCTTGTATTATTTGAGTCTTCCCAAGATAATCACTTGTAAGTGCAAAAGAGAGGCAAGGGGAGTCAGTGTCTTGAGTCATATATATTGACTGGTCATTGGTCTTTAAAGATTGAAAAGGGCACAAGATGAAAAATGCAGCTTATAAAAGCTCAAACAAGAAAATAGACTCAGCTTTTTGGCTGCCAGAATGAATGTAGCTCTTCTGACGAATATTTTAGCTGATAAGATAAATTTCCAAAATGTAAAACTGTAAGATAAAAAATATTTCTGTCATTCTTAACCTATAATTATTTTATTATATACATATTGTTTTGTGTAGAAAGATATTTTTATATCCATTTCAAAAATTTATTTTCAACTAATACAAACAATCATAAGAATTTTATATATTATGGGGTACCATGCAATGTTTCTACACATGTATACAGTTTATTGTGTTTAAATCAGTTTAAATATATGTATCTCCTCAAATATCAGTGACTTCTTTATGGTGAAAACTTTCAAATCCTTTCTTCTGGTTTTTTCAGTTGTACAGTTCATACTTGTTGACGATAATCACATTACTGTCTTACTACACACAAGAACTTCTTGTTCCTATCTAACTCTACATTAACACATACTGATCAACCCTTTTATAATCCTGCTGTCCTCAGCCTCTGGTAAGCACCTTTCTACTCTCAACTTTTCTGGATTTCACATATGAATGAAATTATGGAATACTTGATTTTCTGTACTTGTCTTACTTCACTTATGTTAATGATTTCCTCTTCCATCTATGTTGTTAAAAATGTCAGGATATTATTCTAATTTTTGACTGAAGAGTATTCCATTGTGTATTGGTATTACATTTTCTTTAACCATTGATCAAATGATGGAAACTTAGGATGTTGTCACTTCTTGGCTTTTGTGAATAGTGCAGCAATGAGTATGGGAGTGCAGAAGTCTCTTTGATACATTAATTTCATTTCCTTTACATATGTACTCATTGGTGAAATTGCTAGATCCTACACTAGTTCTATTTTTAGTGATTTCAGGAACCTCCATACAGTTTTCTACAATGACTGCATTGATTTACCAATAGTGTTCAAGTGAGAACTTTTCTCTACATCCTCACCAGAATATGTTATGTTTTATATTTTTGATGATAGTCATTTTTGGGGGGATGAGGTGATATCTCATTGTGGTTTATCTGCATTTCCCTGTTGATATTGATGTTAAACATTTTTTTCCTATACCTGTAGGCATATTTTACATGACTTGTTTTGAGAAATGTCTGCTCAGATCTATTGTTCATTGATTGCTATTATGTTTATGAAATTCTTTTTAAAAATATTTTTAGTACTGGGAGGAATTGAACTCAAAGGCACTTAACCACTGAGCCACATCTCCATCCCTTTTTTGGTATTTTGTTTAGAGTCAGGATCTTGCTGAGTTGTTTTGGGGCTTTGCTAAATTGCTGAGCCTGGCTTTAAACTCTTGATCTTCCTACCTTAGCCTCCCTAGCTGCTGGGATTTACAGGAGTGTGCCACTAAGCCATACTATGTTTATGGAATTTTTTATAACTCTGGATTATTAAGGACTTCTAAAAGTATAATTTGTAAAGTTTATCTCTGCACTTTGTTGATTGTTTCATTTTCTGTGCAGAAGCTTTTTCATTTGAAGCAATCCCATTTGTCAATTTTTGCCTTTTTACCTAAATACTCATATATATATATATGAGTATTTAGGTATTATATATATATAATATTTTTTACATATATACTAACTTTAAGGGGGTGGTTGGGGTAGATTGTCCAAAAAAGTCCTTACCCATGCCAATGTCCTAAAGTATTTACCTATAATTTCTCCTAGTAGGGTCAGTTTCAGGTCTTACATTTAAATCTTTAATCCATTCTGAGTTGACTTTTGTAATCTATTTGAAAGTAGGGTCTATTCATCATTCTGCTTGCACAGAGTCAGCTTTCCTAGCACTATTTATTGAGAAGCTTTTCCCTTCTCCAGTGCATTTTCTTAGTGCTTTTGTCTAAAATCTGTTGACTGTGAACATGTTGGTTTCTAGGCTCTTTATTTTATTCCATTGATTTGTGTCTGTTTTTAATTCAATATCACATTTAATGTTTTTAATTGTAGATGTACACAGTATCTTTATTTTGTTTATTTATGTGATTCTGAGAATTTATCCCTGTGCCCAACACATGCAAGGCAAGTAGCACTGAACCACAACCCCAGACCTACCTCATTGTTGTGATTACTATACCTTTTAAGTATGTTTTGAAGTCAAGTAGTGCAAAACTTCCTGTTCCCCCCCCCTTAAATTTTAGAATTATTTTTTTCTAGTTCTTTGAAAAAATATTGTTGGCAATTTGATAGGGATTGTATTGAGTCTGTAGATCTTTTCGTATAATGTGGACACTTTATCAATAGTGATTCTTCTAATGTATGAACACAGTGTACGTTTCCTCTTTTTGTGTTCTCTTTATTTTCTTTCATCATCATATTTATTCTCTTTAGTTAAATTTATTCCTTGATATTTTGTTTTTTTGTAGCTATTTTAGGTGGAAAATGTCTTTTAATTTTTACTATCTGTCACAGAAGTAATAGAAAACCACACTGACTTTAAAGGTTTAAATTGAAATGACACTCAGGACTATTGCAGTTATTGTATTGATTTATGGACTGAGGGTATAGCTCAGTTGTATTAATGTAGAAAAATTTTGAACATATAATTAATATTTTAGGACAATAATTAATAATCTCATCAGCTGGAGTTGTGTCTGTAAGCATGCTTCAGGAAGATGTCCAATTCTGTAGGCTAACTTTTTTACATTTATGGTGTACATGTATCCATGTATTTCCCCATAGATATCACTCTGGAATAGCATACTTTACTATGGTTTCTGTATTAAAGAGAAGTTTCTCTAAAAGTATTCGTTTGGCAAGAAAGTCTGAAAAATGTTACAGACTTAAAAATCCCGTGATGAGTATTTACAAAAGCAGGTATATGATAGAATATATTATGAAGAAAACAACTCCATGATTTTGGGGACAGTATGCAATTACATTTAATCTATAATAAAGTGATAATTAGGCCATCTAATTGCACATTTGTATGTAATGTAAGTAAATGATCATTAAAAATATTTAAATGCAGAGTCTGGAGATGTGTCTGATGGGTAGAGTTTATTTATTTTTTTTTCATGGAGACAGCCAAGAAGTCACATACAGAGAAATAGTTTAGCATGGACTAAAAATTGTTATTTTAAATATGTCTGAATATAGTATTGGAATAATAATAAATGCAAATGTCAGATAGACATGAATTTAAATGCTCGTTTTTGTATCATTATTTATATTTATATTATTACCACTTACTATTTGTATTATAGGCAATTTTCCAAATTGTTTAATTTTCTAAACTTTACTTTCCTTAAGTGAAAAATAGATATGTTCATCTATGAGTTAATAAATGGCTGGCATATTCAGTGATCAATATTTTGCAGTTAGTGCTATTTTTAGAATGTAAATATTGTTTTTATAAATAATAAACATACATCTGATTTATGTTTTTTTATTAGATAAATTAAACTTCTTTGTCCACCAACAGGTATAAATATAAAACATGCTCTGTGAAGCTAGGTTCTGATTAGATTTTTAAGCCTAGCTTTATTTTGAGAAGGGATGTTAAAAGAGATAATTAAGAGCTTTGCCATTATTAAATCAAACAAAAAATTGCAATGAGAAAATAATTGTAAATCACTCCATAATATACCACATGGAAATGATTATTGTTCAAGAGATCTCAATATTTATATAGTCACAAAAGTGTCAAAAATGGTTTTGGTAGAGTGTTCAGTATTAAGGGCTGAGTGCAAAAATTTCAATAGCATATATATCTCTGTTTTTGTATTTTTTTGTTTGTTTCACAACTAATGTTAGAAGAATTGTAATTATAAGGGACACCATACTGTACTTTCATTTAAATTTGTCATTTCTAATGATTTGCTTATAATGTCTCTACAAAATTATTAAGAAAAATTTATTAAGATTTCTTTCTTTAGCACCTGTTACAATAAGACAAAGCCACTTTGGATATGATTCTTGTCTTTAATACCATAAAATGATAGTTTTCTTATTACAACCTAGTTCTTTGTTTCCAGAGAGTATAATTATTTTTTGTCTTTAATATAAAATGAAAATTTACAAACCCTATTCCCTAGGCTTCAAATCTCAAAATATCATATATGTAAAATAAAATATTTAGGTACCATTTTTCAGAGCCATGGTAAATTTATTGAAGGGCAAACACAAATGGAGGAGAAAATTATATTGAATATTTGATGCTATGTAGCATGTTTTATTCTCTTTTCAAATAAATGTCTCTCTTCTACCAGTAAAACTTCCAGGATATGCATGATTAGATTTGGTGCCATGACAAGCCACAAATCAATACCAAGTTGTCCAAACCAAGAATGCAAATGAAAATGTTTTTAGAATTCCATCTCAGATATTTATATTTTCATTTCCAGTTTGAATTTCCAGGAGTTGCTTAGAATTATTTAAAGAAGGCTATAACTATTACTTTTCAGACTACTTAAGAAAGATAAATCCACTTGTGTTGACTCAATTCAAATTGAGTTTGTAAGATGGCTGGGCAGGTTCTGGTACTTGGCAGTTTCAACAAGGCAGCCCTCACTTATGGCTACACATACTGATTTCTCTGAATTGCACATCTCTCTTTATTATAAATATAAAATATATGCATTTCAATTTAACACTTAAACTTTCAAATAAATTTATTTTTCTGTTGGAGAATAGAGACTGCTAGCTCTGAAACTAATACTATGTGTATGTTTTGAATTTTTAGAAACCATTTTGACACAGTTGTTCTATATTTTATTTTGTACAAATGACAGTTCCCATGGTAAGAATGATTGCAGAGCAAAGATGACCAATTGCCCGAAGAGCATCAAAAGCAACAGCAGTAGTAAAATCCATTTCAGTCCAGAAAAGTACTGGCTCAGTGAACGCTCACGTGATTTTGTTATGTGGCTTGGATAAATGGAAATACAGTGACATTGTCAACTGAAATATTGAGGTAATAAAGTAGGGATATGTGAGAAAACTTGAAAATAAAAGAATAATTCAAAACAGATTTTGTTTAGGTGATTTATTTCATCTGGCAATTATATTAACAGTTTGACCATATGAAATTTGACTTTTATACCAAATGTTTAATATAAATAATACTTTATACAAATGTTTCTATAAGTAGATATAGGTCACTTCTTTAAAATAAAAATTTTAATAGTATTGAAGTAAACTGCATGTTAACACAATAGGAATAATAAATAAGAATTAGATTATTTTTAATATTCAAAATGGTTAGAATAGAAATGATTATCCCTTGAGGGATGGAATTTCAATATCTGAGTGATGTCAGGTAATACTCATTCTTTCTAACTATTGCTTATATTATTCCATTTTACTTGAGATAAATTTTGTATAGTGGTTTCTTTAGTCTAGTTTCTGTCTTCTACAGGAACTTATCAGAGACTTTCTGTGTCTCAGTTTTGAAGGTTGAGAAATCCAAGATTGATGAGCTGCATCTTAATGAGGATCTTCTTGCTGCATTGTAGCATAGCAGAAGACTTTGGAGAAAAATCAGAAAACACAGCAAAGGAGAAGAAGGCCAATCCCCCATCAGTTACAACCACTCACTCCAATGACAACTAACTTACTCCCATGATTAAGACTTTAGTCTATTTAAAAGGGTGATGGTCCCAGGACCTAATTATCTCTTTAAGTTCCTATTTCTTAATGTTTTTATGATGGCAGTTAAATTGCAACTTGGTTTTAGGTGGACATTCAAAACAAAGCAATGGTGAATTAGATATATAAGGCCTATTAGATATATAAAATAATATATATTATTAATTTTAACAATATTTAAGGAAAAAACAATTTTCCTTTTTAATGTCTTTCACTTTGTAATTTTTTTCCTCCTTTGATCATAAAACAAAAAAAATCCCTTTCAATATATCTACATGATTGATAAAGTTATTAGAATAAAGGTTTTAAAAGGTAATCTAGAATATAATTGAGAAATTATATGTGTAAATTTCTTTATGGAGATTGAAATTTTTATTATCATGTAAAATATACTGTTAATTCCTGAAACATTAAATCCTGTTCAGTTTACACACAGTGATATCCAAACTTCTGTATTCATTAAATCGATTTCCATAATAATGCTTTTAATATCCAGTGACACTATTGTCTTGAAGAATATAATTAATACAGCATTAATACAGCCTTCTTCTTAATTACCCATAGATTTCAGTTGTATGAATTTATAGGGAAGCAAAGCATTTTCTGAGACTCTTGATTTAGTTCCTAGATTACACAGATATTTTCATAGTCAAATTTTATCAACCCACAATTGTGATTTTTCAATGAGCTTCATTAACATATCATGATTCAGAATATTGTTTTTCAACTTATTATATATATATGTACTTGGTTAAATATATTCCTTTCCAGTTTTACAAATTGAAGGGTAATTCTTCTTGGAGTAACATGATAATGTAATAAAATATTTTAAATTAAAATATATTACTCTTAATTTCTATTGTATCCTGAACAAAACTTCCCATCTGTTAGACTCAAATGATTCTTTGGGATATAAAAACAATAATTTTATTCTGATATTTTAGTATTGTTATATGAATATGTTATAATATGAAATGAATGAAGAGTTATATATTTTAAAATATTGCTTCACTTTTTAACAAAGAAAACAAATGCAGTTTAAAGGCTAAAGTTTTTTTAAAAATTAAGATTTCTGAATAGTTTGAATTTATCTGCTAATGTGTATTTGTTTCCAGCTGAAACAGTCTTTCAAATTTTGAAAAAAGTTATGGTTGTCCAATCTTACTATATTACTCTTATAAACAAATTATGCATGGTTTTAATTTAGTTTTACTAACTTTTCCATAATATAACTGCATTGTTCAGAAAAAATCAAGTCTAGATATTGTACTCCATAACCATTAAAAGTAGTGTTTGTTTATTTTTGCTTGCCTTATCATGTTATTTTTTAAATTGGTACATAAAATCTTATGGATTTATTACATACAGTGTGATGCTTTCAAATGTATATAAATTGTGGAATGACTAAATCTAGACATATACATTACCTTAAAAGTTATCATTTCTTGTGTAGAGAACACTCACTGTTCACTCATTTAGCATTTTTCAAGAGTACACTTTATTGTTATTAGCTGCAGTCACAATGTAAAATAGGTTTCTTTAATTTATTCCTCATATGTCATAGAAATTATGTATCGTGTGACTAACATGTCAATTTGCTTTATCCAACTGCCCTAGCCCTTGCTGATCACTATTCTAAGCTCTGCTTCTATAAGACAAAGTTTCTAAAAGTTTACATAAGGGTAAGATGTGTCTTGTCTTTTCATGTCTGGGTTGCTTCACTTAGCATAATGTCATCTTCCTCAATACTGTCACAAATTCAGTGTTTCCTTCTTTTTATGACTAAGTAGTTTCCATGTTTTACCACAAATTAGCTATAGTATGTCAGAAATGTTATACATGAAATATTACTTTTCTTTATCAATTTGTCTATTCAGCAGATACTTAGGTTGAATAAATATCTTGTTTATTGAGGATAATGTTGCAATATATATGGGACTGCAGACATCTTTGACATATTGATTTCATTTTTCTTTTCAATATACTCAGTATTGTTTTATACATAGTAGTAACATTTTTTAATATAACTAAATTGTTTGATCACTTGGTAGTTGCATTTTTCAATGTTTTTGAAGGAACATTCACACTGTTGTCCACATGACTGAACTAATTTATATTCCCACCAACATTGTGTTAGGCTTCAACTTTCTCCACAACTTAATCACTTATTTTATTTGTATTTTTAATATCTACTCTAACTGCTATGAGTAATGTCTCATTGTACTTTTGATTTGCATTTATCTGAATTATGATGTTGAACATTTTCTCATATACTTTTAGCCATTTGTATGTCTTCTTTTGAAAATGTTTATTTATCTACTGTGGCTCATTTTCAATTGAATATTTTTTT